AGATGGCCTGAGCCCCGGTCCAGGAAGGAAGGCCCCTCTCGCTTCTGCGGAGTGGCCTGGCTGCACCGCCCACGCCTCACTGTGGCATATCAGCTTTCCCCATCATTTGCCCACGGCGGCTGCTATGAAAACCCTGTCTTCAGAATCACAAGTGGATCATTATCCCTCACTGTGTTCCCACAGGGTTTAATTTCATTGTAAAAAATACAGCTACTTAATGAATTCTCCACCACAGTCTTTAAACAAACCCTGGCAAAGCAAGTCCTTTTCTCATCCGAAAATTGCTCAAGGTTTTCTACTTTGCAAAAGCGATTTTGCCCTCCTTTATCCGGAGGCTGGAAACTCTCTCGGGGGAGCTCTATGGGTTTTTGGCTTCCCCTTGGGCCTCAGCTGCCTCGCCTGCAAAATGTGGACAATAACAGGACCCCTGAGGGCGTAGTGCAACTTCACAATAACACTCAGCGTAACTGAGGCCTGTGGGGTGCCACACACTGTTCCAAGCTCTACGTGCCACCTCACTGCATGCTTTCTAGAGCCTGAAAGGAAGCTGCTATTGCCATCTTCATCGTAAATACGAGGATACTGAGGCTCAGAGAGGGAAGTAACTTTCCCAAGGTCACACAGCTAGTAAGCAGCAGAGCCGGAGTTTGAACCCAGGCAAGCTAGTTTCAGAGCCCACATTCAACAGCTGGGCAAGCTGAAGGGGAGCAGGATCCGTGTGGAGCCAGGATGGGGTGCAGTGGGGTGGGGTGGGGGCTGAGTGGAGGAGATAAATACTGTGGCAAAAGTAGGAGCAGGCCAGGCGGGGCTGGAGAGCTTGACTGTAGAGTGCAACAGGACAGGGACTCTCCACTCTGCCATCACACATCCACGAAGTAAGTGCTCAGTAAATACGCGTGAGAATCATGACTTCAAGCAATATTGACACAGTGCTGCATAACGAGACAGAGCAAACGTTTAAACCAAAAGTCAGACCGCGGTACACCTCTGCTCAAAACCCAGTGACTCTTTAGGAGACCAAGAAGGAGAATCTGTGCACGATCACAGGCCCCACTCTGGGATCGAAGGTCTTGTCCCCCGGCTCACTCCCTTCCAGGCACACTCACTTCCTCCAATCTGCCGGGGCTTCCTCTGCCCCAGGGCCTTTGAACTCCACTCTCTCTAGGCTCCCCAGGACTCGCACACCCCTCCCATCAGGGTCTTCTCCTGGGCCTGGCTCTTTCTGGGAAACACTGGGAAATTCTGTTTCTTCATTCAGGTTTCTTCAAACGCCATCTGTGTCTGAGCTACGGAAACAAGCCCCAGCCCGCCTTCGTTGTGCTCCATCCCAGATTCTGCTTCTGTCCTCCTTTGTTGCATGTAAGACGCTGTCTAATCCGTGTATCTGCTTCCTTACTGTCTGTGTCCCCCCAGGAGAAGGTCGGCTCCGTGAGGGCTGGGGTTTCAGCTTGGTTCCCTCTGCTGCCTCCTCAGAGCCTAGAATAGTGCCTGGCACACAGTAGGTCATCAACAAATATTTGTGGAAGGAGGAGGAGAAGGAAGGGAGGGAGGGAAGAGGGGTGGAGGGAGAGAAGAGGCAGAGAAACCAAAGTGTGACCACCTCAAGGTTTATTTTTATGATTTTTATTTTAAGTTGAGAGAGACTTGATCCTAATTACTGCAGAGGAGAAGAAGCAGGTGAGAGGGGGTGGAAGAAAAGGCAAAACGGAGACAAAGGAGATTGAACAAGAAGGAAACATGAGGGTAGAGCCAGGTGAAGGGGTCACTCCTGCTCCAGGGCTCCCTCACTTGCCTGAACACAGCCCTAGGATGCTACCAACTCTTGAGTGAACATAAAATAAAACCCATCTGCAGTGGTTATGAAGAGTCTGCCTATCTTAATAGAGACATTTTTGGCTACTTGGCTCCTGTGGGAAAACATGAAACTCAAAGCGTGGCCTCAGAATCTTCTGGCTCCAACCTCATGCAGGAAGCCCGGCTATGGGCTGCCCACCAAAGGGTCCCCACCGAGCAGAGGCGAGGATGGGAAATTCCCGTGGAAGGTGAGCAAGGGCAGGACAGGTGAGGCCTTCCATCCTCTGCCTGTATCATGAGGGCCCTCACCTCGTGATTCTGAATCGACCCTTCCCGGAGAGCCTCGACTGCGTGTCCCACAGCTGACCGCATCTTCCTGGGAAAGCGGCGGCCCCGGCAGGCGCACAGTCAGAAATATTACCTTGTCTTGTTGAGAGACCACACACGACACAACGAGACACGTGGCTCTGAACAGGCCATACTCAATCAGGGCTGGTGACCCTTGAGAGAGCCTGGGTTTTCCTTTCTAGGGTCTGAGAATAACCTCAGCCTGCGTCTGTCTGTCTGTTCATCCTCTCGGTTTCTCTGTCCTACTCTATCTACATATCAATGACTTAGATAAGAAGATTCTTCTAAACAGCTGTGCCAGTTAACATCCTCATTCAAAATATGCTCTTTGAACTTCTGTACTTGCAGGATCTTGTGATTAACTGCCTTTGCTACAAATTCTTGGAAACAAGCTCTTGCCTAGGGCCAAATGTGTATTCCTTCGAGCTTTGTCTTGTGTGACTGGAGGTCTTTGCCCTTTAACTATCAGGACATTTTCCTCGCTGGCCTATTGCACCCCAACCCAGACTCCTCACCCCCATGGCCCAGGAAGGAGTGGTTGAAAGTTTCCTGATTCCCACCACAGGGCTGAAATTGCCCACATTAACCCAGCTTTGGCCTTGTCAACGTCATTGGTTAAGTACCTGCTGCATGCTAGGTATTACAGCTGTTAATATAGTTAATCCCATTTAAGTAATTACCTTATTTAGTGCCTTAATGATTTGCATTTCTATTTTATATACATAGGTAAACAGAGGCTTAGAGAAGTTAAATAACTTGGCCAAGGTCACAAAAATTGGTTTCTGTTCTACCTGACTACTGAGGGGCTAATGGCGAATTCTTGGATCCACGGGGCTGGAAGACTGCTGCAGGATTCAGTATAAGCTGAGATGTGGAAAGAGAGCTGCTGGAGGCAGGAAGGGGATTTCTAAATTGAGGAAGGGGATTTAAATCTTGTAGAGACTGCACCCTGATCACTAAGTGTGTGGCTGTGCAGAAATAAGCCACTTTCCCGGAGGATCTCAAAGTATACCTCTCACTCCATATGCTGGGGCTGAGAATCACAAACGGTCATCATCTGGCAACTAGACAAAAGAAGGATTAAGGAACAAGGAGAAGGTCAAGGTCAGAACCTGAGGACTGGGAAGGCTCCAGGCCCTGCTGGGTGGCTGTGTGATACAGGCTGTCAGAATGACATAGCATTGCTTGCTGTGGACTTGATTTGCTGTGTGTCACCTCACAGACCACTCAGACACTGTGGTGGTAACTCCAGTCTCTGCTAATATCTTGGAAGCGTTCTGAGGTTTAGGGGAAATTCTACTGAGTGTTACATTTTAAGTTTTTGTCAGGAAAGCATTAAAAGACCCAGTAATTTTTGTACATTGTTCTAATAGCTCATTGTTAATATCATTATTGATTTGTCAAATTGTCTCTGTTACTCTCTGGTGGTCTAGCTGGTTCTTTCACTGTGGCCCACAACTCTCTCATCTCTGCTGTCCCTAAGGGCCCCTGTTTATGCTTCATCATCCTCTTTTACATCCTCTTAGGCCTGGAGGTAGCCCAGTACCACCCTGGCTCTATACCCCACTCCACCCCGATCTTGTACCACCCCCATCTGTGACCTTGGGAAGACCCCTGCCCTCCTGTTCTTAGTCAGTTCAGGCTACTATAACAGAGACCTGGCCCGTTAAACAACAACATTTGCTTCTCCTAGGTCTAGAGGCTGAAAGTCTGAGGTCAGGGAGCCGGCATGGCTGGGTTCTTGGTGAGGGCTCTCCTCTTAGGGCACAGCTGCCTTCCTGCTATATCCTCACAAGGCAGAGAAAGGAGCTCTGGTGGCTTCATCTCCTTATAAGGGCACTAATTCCATCTTGGGGCTCCACCCTTGTGACCTCACCTAAACTTAATCACCCTCCAAAGGCCCCACCTCCTAAGAGCACCACATTGGGAATTAAGGCTTCAACATACACATTTTTAGAGGATGCAAATATTCAGTCATAGCATGTCTGTGGGCCTCAGTTTCCTCACCTGTACAAAGGGGATACCTGATGCCCCTTGGCTCCCTGCCCTGCTCGTGCTATGCTTCTAGAGCCTTAAAGAGGGTAAGGGGGCCAGCACACTTTGTCTTCCACAGGACGGATGTCCACCCTGTCTTTCCCTGGTGGGGACTTCAGGCTGGGACTGTTTCCTTGGATGGGAGCAGCTCCCATTAGACGTATGTATGCAGAGAGGCCGGTGGAGCCTCTCCCAGGGATGCATCAGAACGTAGGGAAAGTAAAATCAGCTTTTGAAGTGCTGTAAAAGCATTGCCTTTTTATTAGGTTTTTCACAGCTTTGGGTATAAACCATTCTGCAAAGCGAATACAGTTACTATAATTAAGCACACGAACGCACTCCCACTTAAGAGGAGAGAGGTCCCTGCGTGCGGTGGTCGTACAGGAAGCTTGAATGTTTATGTGTCCTGTTTGCTAAACAGACCTGAGGAAGAGTGGCAATGGTTACTCGGTAACTTACAGGTGCCAGGTGTCCTGACAGCACATGTGATTATTTTATTTCTTGTAAAAATCAGGGTCTCCGGGGTGAACTTAGAAACATTCAGGAAGACTGAAACAGACCAGCATTCACCTGCAGAGTTTGCCAACCTCAGCTCATTTGAGCTTCGCAGACCTCAGTGAGCCTGAGGGATGGGAATTCAGCCCATTTCACAGATAAGAAGCCAGAGGCTAGGTGAGTCCACCTACTAAGTCAGGTGAGTGCTAGAGTCGAAACTCAAAAACTCCTCTGGAGATCTTCAATGCCTTTTGGTCCCCTCCCCTCCCCTCCACGGTGCCCGCTCTCCCTCCCCAGCCCCATCATTGAGAGCTCAAAAAAGCACATACCAGGATGTCCAGGCAGGCGGCCTTCAGCAGGGTGATTTGGTCTGCGATGGTCAAGCCAGTGAAACCAGGCAGACGTTTAGCAAACTCCACGATCTTAATAATGCACTTGGTGGCCAGTTCACTGAATTTGTCCCAGAGGCCCAGGTCCAGTCGGACTCGATGGTCAGCACTGGAATTCTAGGACAGAGAGAAAATGTCATCAGATACAGTTTCTGGGAAGCACTACAGGAGGGGAGAAACTCAGTGTGTTTCCTATTAAAGGGGGTGACATGTCAGCCTTGAGCAGGCAGCTTGTTGGTGGAGCAGCTGTATTTTTTTTCAGCCTGGATTCATCTTTTTTTTTTTTTTTTTTTTGTGAGACGGAGTCTCACTCTGTCATCCAGGCAGGAGTACAGTGGCACAATCTCAGCTCACTGCAACCTCTACCTCCCTGGTTCAAAGAATTCTCCTGCCTCAGCCTCCCAAGTAGCTGGGATTACAGGCGTGTGCCACCACGCCCGGCTAACTTTTTGTATTTTTAGTAGAGACAGAGTTTCACTGTGTTAGCCAGGATGGTCTAGATCTCCTGACCTCATGATTCACCTGTCTTGGCCTCCCAAAGTGCTGGGATTACAGGCATGAGCCACTGCATTTGGCTGGATTCATCTTTTTAAAATGCTTAAAATCTTATTCCTGTACCATTGGATAATCAAGTAACAGATGAGAGGGAGTTTCTCTGCATGCAGTTATCCAGCTAACAAACAAGGAAAGAATGAGGATTCACCATTTTCTAACTGATGAACGAATGGCTCTAAGCGTCGACCATCAGTAGTTGTTAATCTCTTAAAAACAGGCAACCTGTCATGCTGATGCCCTGATGGGAAAACACACCACCACCTCTGAAACATTCTGGCCAAAAATCAAACTTGAATCAAACTGAGACTCTAGATATAACCTCAGGAAATCCAGGGATATGGTAAACGACACAAAAGGGGTACAGCTGTCAACATCTAGAATGCCAGAAAATCCACAAAACCAATGAACCGGTTTTTTCAATGAGTACATTGCAAGAGAAAAACAAGTGGAGAGAGAAATGTATAGATTGAAAGCAACTCAACCCAAATGCTCATTAACTGGTGGGTGGATAAATAAATTGTGATTACAACTTTGCATTGAAAATGCTAGGTAGCGTTAATAAGGAAGGAAACTGTAATACATGTTACCACATGGATAAACCTTGGAAGCATGCTAAACCAAAGAAGGCACACATAAACGCCCACATACAAAATGATTCCATTTATATGACGTTCTGGAAAAGGCAAAACTATAGTGATTGAGAACAGCTCAGTGGTTTTCCAGGAGCAGGAATGCAGGTGGGGACTGACCACAGGTGCACAAGGAAACTCTTTGGATCAGTGGAAATGTTCTACATCTTGACTGGGGTCAGGTTATGTGACTGTGTACTTTTGTCACACTCATCAAATTATACCTTTAAAAAAGATAAACATTACATTATGTAAATTATACTGCAATAAACCTGACCTAAGATACTGAGAAGACTGACAACCAATTGCGTGATGTAAACCTTATCTAAATTTTAATTAAAAAAAAAAAAACTGTAAAGAGATGGTGATATATATGAGAAAACGAGAAATATGAGCTATTAGGTGTTGGAGATAATTTTATTTTAGGATGGTAATAATGGCACTGATGCTTTACTTTTGTTTGCAGAAGCTTCTTTCATTTAGAATGCATATGAAGATTTTTTTTTTTTTTTTTTTTTGAGACGGAGTCTCGCTCTGTCGCCCGGGCTGGAGTGCAGTGGCCGGATCTCAGCTCATTGCAAGCTCCGCCTCCCGGGTTCACGCCATTCTCCTGTCTCAGCCTCCCAAGTAGCTGGGACTACAGGCGCCCGCCACCTCGCCCGGCTAGTTTTTTGTATTTTTTAGTAGAGACGGGGTTTCACCGTGTTAGCCAGGATGGTCTCGATCTCCTGACCTCGCGATCCACCCGTCTCGGCCTCCCAAAGTGCTGGGATTACAGGCTTGAGCCACCGTGCCCGGCCAAAGATATTTACAGATAAAATGAGATATTTGTAATTTACCATCCAACAAAAGGCTGACGTTGTCCTCTGACAAATGTAAACAGCTAAGGAGAGGTACTGTGTTTCTCAAACTGGTATCTTTAGTTCCCCACCTCAGTTAAAATCAGTCTACAGGAAGTCAATAAAACTAGCTCTTGCTTTGAATGTCTGCATGGAAAGCCAGGAAGGAGAGTTTGCACGAGGTGCCCTAGACACCGTAAAAATGATGGCGGCCAACTGTGCCTTCCATGACATTCCTTGTGGAGAGTAGACACGCATCCTTCAGATTTATTTTATTCCTTCCTCAAGGACCTTGGTGGAATACAGTACACTTGGGGGAACATGAGATCAAGATGTGTGGCCATTCGGACCGTAATTAAATTTAATAGGCAGTTTATCCGGTTCATAGGAAGATGACACGGAAGAGAGGGACGGAGAGTCAAGCTTATGGAGGGAAATCATTTTACAATAGAGTATCCATCTGGAAAAAAAGACATTGCCCAGACCCAGCAAGTGTGAACGAAATCTTCATCAACATTGGATGAGGTTACTTTATCACGCGCCAGGGCTGAGAGAGGAGCCTGTCGCACCTTCTATTAAAAATAATGCACAGCCGTCTTAACGGCATGTAAATCTAACTCACTATTATGCAAACTGAAGGGAAGAGGCAGTTAATAAAACACGAAATAACCTGGTGTTTTATTATACTGGCTGCTGGATTCATAGGCATGAGGCTTCAAATGGCTTATATATTATCTTCCAGGTGCGGCACATGGAGAGCCCTGGCCTGCTTGGGTTGGTAATGAAGGCGGCTGTGGGGAGCACCAGGGAAGCGTGGATTTTCAGCAGCATTTCTGAGTGTGCAGGAAGGAAAACCAGCAGAGGAGAGGCAGAAAATTGGGTGTTGAGGAGAGGCCCTTGCTGTGAGTATGAGGCAGGCTGATGAGGAAAACAGCCAAGGCAGAAGGGCGAGGGGCTCTCCTCCATCTGCTGCCAGCTGTGAGTCTGCTCAGGGCTTCCAGGGAGGTCCCCTCTTCGGCAGGAGACACAGGAGCTGCAGCGCCTCCCCGGGATGCTGCCCGGTGGCCCATATGGAGGATCGCGCCATGGCCTCCCAGGGCCATCTTAAGCAGCAGAAAAGCCCAATCCTACTATGAAATCCAATTAAATGGCAAGTTTTGCCCCGCAAATGGATCCCTTTCCTTCTGCTGATTTGGTTCTCTGCTGCAACAGGCTGCCTTCCTGGACTGGCAGGACTTTCAGAACAAGACCCATAAAGGAAAGTGGAATCACCAGCATCTTTAAATCGCGCTGGAGGCAGCGCCTGGGTATTACAGTGGTTTGTTCAAGGGTTCTGGCTTTTTTTTTTCAAAGCTAAGCAGGAAATGTAAATTTTCATTAAAGGAATAAAGAATGAAAGATCTGTGGCAATGTTGGGTATATCCATGGAGGTGCCTCCTTCCACCATCCTGGAGACTGATGTCCTTTCAAGTTCAATTTGCAGACTGTCCCTGTCACTCACATTCCATTCCTGCATTTTGTATGGTTTTGTAGGTAACCAACCCTTTTCTAGGGCTTGCCTCGTGTCAGGCACTGTTCTATGTGCTTAACAATCATTGACTCGCTTTACTTTTCACAGCGCCCCCATGCGGTAGGCACTATTATGGTCCCCATTTGGCTGATAAGGAAGCGAAGGCCCACAGAAGCACAGTCATTTGTGCAAGACACCGCAGGCGAACTGGAGGGTATGGGATTCACCCACACAGTTGGGTTGGGGTGTTTAGGCTGCACCATGTCACCCCCCTCCCTACTGATTCCTCACGTATTTCTACTTTCTGGTTAGAACTTCCTGACTCCTAAAGCCTGTAGTTGCATCTGTGATCTCCCTCCTTGTTGGAATCTCTGGATGCTTCCAATCAGGTAGCTACAAGAGCTCCAGCACGGCTCTAAAGAGAATGTTATGTGCCAGCCAACATCTCTTTGTGGTCAACACACACATTATCTAGGCACTATGACAAGATGGCTTCGGGAACGTCTGCCCCCAACAGAGGAGAACAGAAGAGAAGGCCCCCAACGTGCCTGCAGCATTTTCCTCAGGACCACACGCCTCCAACAGTGGGGAGAAGGCAGCTTGGCAGCCACCCTGTAGCTCTGGGTAGACATGAGGGCGTCATCTTAACGGCATGGTGCAGTGTGTGGGCAGAGAGGGCTTCGAGCAAAGGGCAATGGGAGAGAGCAAGTAGGGAGGGTCTGTAGAATCTTTCGAGTGTTTCCTAGCAACCTGGCTCACAGCAAGAGTGATGCTGCGGGATTCCCCTGGAGGTCATGCTTCAGGCGTGCTCCTGGACCACCATCGTCTAAGATTCCTGAGCTGGGACATGACCCTGGAAGGGACCATCTGTCCATCTGCAGCCCCTTCACTCCTGGGGTTCAGAGATCCGGGACCTTGGGTAGAGTGCAGGGGTGGTGTGGTGGGTGTAGTCCAAGGCCCTAGAGGATGTCCAGGAAATACTAGAATTCTGGAGTGGTCCCAGCTGCTGAAAGGGGCCATGAATGCCTTCTGGAGCTGCAGGATACATCTGAGAAAGATCAAAAGCCCTGCCCTGTGTCCCTGCCGAAGCCTTCCAGTCAGACACAGCAGCTAGGGGCCACCTTCTTGGAAATGCTTTTTCTCCTGACTAGAAACTCCCCTTGGCTCCCGAGGGCTAATATTCACACACTTTATCCCGCACCCAAAGCCCCTAGGAAGCCAGCCCCGACCTACCTCCTCAAACTTAGCTCTGCCTCCCTCGCACCCCGCCCCATCCCTGTGAAACCCTGTGCCAGGTTCACGCCATTGCTTTTGCTGGGAACGTCTTTCCCTTGTTCCACTACTCAGGAAGAATGTGGGTACTTAGTGCAGTGCCTACAGAACATTTTTCTTCAAAAGATCAGGACTTACGTGTGCTGCCAGAGGTTTCTAAATACTCACAACACTTGTGACAAAATTTGATTTTCAGCTAGGCTTTGCAGAGAGCGGCCAGCATGGAAAGGTAATGTCCGTGCACTCCAATTCTGCACTCACTAGGTGTTATTGTTTGCTATGGGTTAAATTGTGTCCCACAAAAAGATGTGT